CCTCCTAGCCCACAGTATAGCTTTGATATGGGGGAGGGAGCATGGAAATAAACAGAGTAGTGGCATTGTGACAGAGTAATAAGAGATGTCTGATGTTCGTCTTGCTTATGCAGCCCCTTGTAAGTGCAGCCATTGGATGGAAAATCATGAGCTGATCAGGCTACCTGCCTTTCTTTTAGTGTACCTGTCAAGGAGTCATGGACCCTGAGCAGATAGCAGCAATAATCTGCTATCCTGCAGCACCGAAGAAAAGGAATTGTGTTTCTTCAATAAGTCAGTCAATCATAAATATAATGTAATCTCTTAGTACCTGTGCTGGGGCTGAAGAGATTCAGAAATTTGGGTGGGAGGAATTTTAAATCTCCATAATACCTTCTACTATTGGATGCCTGTGTGAACGTAAATATTGACAGGATCCCAACCTATGTATTTAATGTAGCATGCAGCTGTAATCCCTGCTGCCCCTTCTTTGACCCTGGTCCTGTCCTGGGTTTCCATTAGTCCTTTGGCTTGGGTCCTGATTCAAAGGTCCCAAGTCTTTAATAGTTCCCAGCTGGGGCTGAGTTAAAGTCACTAGTCTCAGTAGCTTTGCTTTCTTTAACAACACCTGGTATGCCCATACAGAAACTAGCACTCCATTTGAAGCTGTTCCTCCTGTCCTGAACCAGCTGTAGTAACTACTGGTGTTGGCAGCATTATCCCCAGCAACACTTTTGGGTGGGCTGGGATAACCCAGTTGTGGTGTGGAGGAGTGTCCAGGCTGTCTTCTTGCAGGTCCTGGTGCAGTAGGGTATGACACGTGACTCACCAAATCTGAGCCCTGATTGAACTTTGTCCATGCCCCAGTCCAAGGCTTGCCCCTTTCTCCTCTTCCAGAGCACAGAAAACCACAGCTACTCCTCCAGGGTGTCTAGCCAGTTCCACCTCTCTTCTTCCTCTTCCATCCTGGCCCCCAACTGATTCTGCCTGCTCTCTCCTGTCTGACATCTTCCCTGACACCTTTCAGGTCTACATTTCCTCTGCCTTGACCCCCTGTGGTCATACAGTTTTTCCTTCAGGTTGCCCTGGATCTGGGGGCCTGTGGATGTTCTACAGCTTCCCTCTTACAGTACTTCAGCCCTTGGAATTCAAAGTTTGAAAGCAACCACAAGACACATACTGTGCAGTTTCTAAGAAAGATATGACTCATATAAATATTTCTGGGCATCAGTTCTCTTTTAATCGTGCTTTAATTGTGATACTAACTTCCAAACTCTGGAAAATAAAAATGTGCCATTTTCTTTAGTAGGGAACATACCTTACTACTGAACACAATAGTTTAGACAAAGTATCCAAAAGATCAGGTTGCTACATCAGAGTAAATATACATGGAATCAGAATGCATGACATAATGTATCACATGCACTACTTTGCTGTCATGTGAGTGTAGATGGTGTATGCTTGCAAGCAGAATTTTGTCATCTCTGGATGATTTGGTCCTTTAAAATCAGCACTCAAATGAGCCAATCAAAATATGGCATGTACTGCATGAATAGAATTAACATGTATGTTTAAAGCATGTAGCCACTGGGCAGCGGCTTAGCAAAATCAGGACAATATCTGGTAAAAAAGAAGGGGGGAACTTCCACTCAGCATTTATTTTTATATATAAAATACTTTCCTATATGTTTTACACAGCACCTAGGAATGTTTTGTCTTTGCTGCTTAAATTTATAGCAGGGGTCAGGGAACTTTTTTACCTTTTACTCCCCCCAAAATTTATATAAGCCAACATTATCCCCTTGATTTGAAAGGAGGGAAATGATACAGTATTTGATGAAGCCACCCTTTTTCCCCGCCTTAATTCAAGCCTTGCCTGTTCTTTTCATAGTTTTGAGTCAGTCTCTCCCTCTCTCACACACAAGCACACATCCATCCATCCTCCCTCCCCCTCCCCTTTTTTCCTGCCTTAATTCAAGCCTTGCCTGTTCCTTTTTTTATAGTTTTGAATCAGTCAGTCTCTCTCTCTCTCTCTTTCTCTCTCTCTCTCTCTCTCTCACACACACACACACACGTGTCCACCCTCCCTCCATCCATTTTCTCCATACATTTAAATAAGCTTGATGAAGCCCTTGGTCTCTCGCAACTTCCTTCCCCTCGTTAACTTGATCCTTTCCCGCCTCCTGCTTGCTTGCATTTATTTCCAGATGAAGCAGTCATTCAAAGCCCTGGATTGATTGATTGCTCGGGGCTATTCCACAGCTGTAGCCAATTAAGCAGGCTAATCTCCGATCTCTGAATGAATGGAGGATTTACAAGTGCCTGCGCAACCAGGAAGTAACAGGGAGAGGTGGCTTACAATTTGAGGTTTGGCTGCAGGGGGTGGGTGGGAAGCGGTAGCGCTCTGCTCATTACCCCAAGATTTTCACTTTTACCCCATTTGGGGTAATTTACCTGTTTCCCGACCACTAGTTTATAGTTATAAAAAAGTGTGTTAAGTGGATTCACATAGTAACATAGCATTTAGTTTGCTGCAATGCAATAAGACTTTCGCAACAGAACTACTTCCTCAGGGGACTTAATTCATGAGAGCTCACATTAAAATATAGCAGTTAGTGTCACAACATTTTGTTTTTTGTTTTTCTGTTTCTGCTTTGTTTTTTAAAAAACTGATATTGTGACTTACTGTGACTTACTGTGATACTGTGCGGTGATATTTTTTATTTGTTTTTACCTTTATCAGTTTTTAATTGTCTTGTGAGCAGTCCTGAGTCATCATTTTGGAAGAAAAGTGGGCTATAAGTAAAAAAATAAAATAAAAAGTATAACAATTAGATTTTATAAATATGCAGCACAGCAGAAGCCTCTTAAAAATAAGAGTTCAAAGCCACAGGTTGATGCACCAGGAATCCTGCACTGGTGTTTAAGGAAAGGAATGCAGTGGCTGTTGTGGAAGGAGAGAAAGTTAATTTCTTTCAGTTTCACATATGCTCCCCAGTTAATGGTGTTAGTGCTTTTATTAACTGTGGCCTTGGTATTCTTTTGCCCAGTGTCCCAATGTCTTCTAAGATGATATTTTCTAAAATATTGAATCTGATTATTAAAATACAAACAACATAGATCTGACATACATTTCTAGACAGCCAGGACTTAATCTGGATATGACTCAGTAGAAGTCTATGAACAATATGTTAAATCCTTCAAATGCCAGACCCTGCCAACATCACCCTACCATTCCAATAATTTTGCTAGATTGCTTGTTTCTATGGCAACATATAGCATAGTACCACTTTGCTGTCAAAATAATTTAATCAAGTAACACATTAAAAGTGTTTTTAAAAGGAGTTTACAAATACATCACGCACAAACAAGCATTTTAAAATGTAAAATTGTAGAAGTGAATCACACAGTGAAGCATATCAGTCCTATTTAGATAAGTATGAACTATAGATTTAACCTTGGTAAATGGCCTGGTATTTGTTTAGTACTTTTGTATTTACCAAAAGAGGGTTTCCAGTTTAGAATAAAGATGTATAATTTGAAACACATAATACTAAAAGTTTAAAGGAACAGGAAGTAAATTTTTAAAATTCCAAGACAAATTCTTATTCTCAGAACAAAGAATAGCCTTTAAAATGTGTTTGCCTACAAGTCCAAGAATTCCTTACTGTTGGTTATACTAGCTAGGGCTAATGAGAGCTGCCATGAACATTTAGACTGATGTACTTTACAGCCCCTTGATATAACATCAGTTTGTGCTTTGTCTTTTTAATTCTTATAAATGAATACAATGTCCTGCTTTAGTTCTAGCTTGTTGTGTTGTTCCATATTGCAACCCTCTTTGCTTCAAAGGTGTGATGGAAGCAAGTGCTTACGTAGTTAAGATCCCTTTGTTAGTCCTTTTGAAAATTTGCTTCTTGGCGATAAACTCCCTCTCTGCCTTGGCGTCTTAGTAATGTAGGGGCAAAGGACAGGCCCATAGGGCCTGTGTGACATCCAGTAGTCCCCATAAGTGTCCCATAGAAGGAGGCAAAAGTTAAAAATAAAACAAAACAAGCAAACATTTGTAATCTTTAACTTTATGAGCCTTGGAGCCCCATGGGCCCCAAATAAAGTAAAAGTAAAAGTAAAAATAAATCATAAGTCTCCATCTGGGCATTTTTTCTTTAGAGGGGGTGTTTGCTCTTTAATTTTTTTCAAATTCTGTGAAGTGGTAGCTTTGGGCACAAATATGTAGCATGCATTTCTAAATGTGGGTGCAACGTAGAGGCAGACATTCATACATTATGGTCATTGTTTTAGATTCCCTGCATATGCAGAAAATGCTGTGCCATTATCTATAAAAATATAAAATAAAGATGAAAAATCTGTTATTGGGTTTCAACTTCTGTCATTGACAACCATTGACCATAATGGCTGGAGCTGTTGGGAACTTACTTGTTGGAGCTGTTGGGAGTCCAGTAGCATCTGGGGGGGGGGGATATAATTTCTCCTCCCAGGCCTTACAGTGACAACAACCAATAAAGTACATGTTTGAGGCAGTTTAATCTGATTTCAAGACATCAAAACCCAAAACAGAGTTAAACAGTTTCAAATCTGTTGACCAATTATGTGCTAGACAGTCGATGGGAATCTGGCTATTCACTTCTGTAGACCGCAGATTATGAAGTATCCCAAATAATGTCTTAACATGGAATATACTTTAAAAATGTCAACTAAAATATTTGAAGATTGGAAAGTGGATAGAAGAAATGAATAGGAAAAAGTTCCTAATTATTTTATTGAAAATGATACTTTCTGCTATTATTTAAGGAAAACTATCAAAATGAATTCTGAGATAATGTTGGTTGAATGAAATCAAATTAAATTACACTGTGCATCCACCTATTTTTTAGTTTCTTGCAGAAGTATTAAATTCAAAATCTATTTTGATACACATATGGTGATATAAGTACTTAAAAACACACTGCTAGTAAAGCACAGTGCAGTTGATTTTGGAATGCAATAATTTTTATCCTTAGGGACCATCTTCAACAAATGTATCACCAGGAGCAGAAGAAGAAGAAGATGGAGGTGAAAATACCTGTGGACCTACTGGTTTGTGGGAGGCACTCACACCCTGTAATGGATGCAGGAATCTTGGATTCCCCAGCCTCACTCAGGTATTTTTTAAAAACCTACTTTTTTGCTTAAAAATAAAATGTTACTTTAACAGTACAAGTTATAGACAATTATGGTAGTCCTGAGCTTGTTTATATATAACCTGTGTCCATAACTATTGCTCATTTTTATGTCATACCTCTGTTTTCTTCTCTTTCTTTTGTGTTGACCACATGGCATCCCTCACCCAATATACTTGTGACTTTTACATCAGCTTTGGTTCCACCAGTTTCTGTCCTGCACGGTCTCTTAATGTAACTTGTACTATGTACTGATCCACTAATTTTGACCTGCTGAGGGAGAGTTCCATCCCTCATGCTCAATCCAAGGATCGTGATGCTTCATCTTCTGTTGTTGCATGCTGTTGCCTCCAATTTATGGTGGCCTTCTGAATTAGCAATCTCGAAAATGTCTTGTCCTCTACAGCCCTGCTCAGTTCTTGTAAATTCAAGGCTGTGGCTTCCTTTAGGGCAGTGATTCCCAACCTTGGGTCCCCAGAAATTCTTGCACTACAATTCCCAGAAACCTTGGCCATCATAGCTAGTGGTGAAGGCTTTGGGGAATTTTAGTAGAAGAACATCTGAGGACCCAAGGTTGGGAATCATTAGGCTTTAAGGAATCAATCTCTCTCATATTCAACATTGACAGTACTTTCAACTAGAGATGGGCACACTCTGTTTAGTGCAGTTCAATGGTTCAACTGTACAGGTCTTCTACAGGCACCCTGGTTTCCCTTGCCCTGCCTCCTTTGGTGGGTGCTCATTGAGAATATTTCATTAGCTTTTGCTTCTTCGTCTTCAGTAGGGTCTTTGCCAGATCTAAACAATGGAGACTTTGGTTGTTGTGGGTTTTCTGGGCTGTTTGGCTGTGTTCTTAAGGTTTTTCTTCCTAATGTTTCGCAAGTCTCTGTGGCTGGCATCTTCAGAGGACAAGAGTCAGAACTCTGTCTGTACTCTGTTGCAGTTTGTTGGATAGTTAAGTATTTATAACTGTGGGATCAGCTTTTGTCCTTTTCAGGAGATTGTTTTTGTTGTGAGTGTATTTTTGTGATAAGGGGGAGACTGGGATAATCATCCAATCTCCTGGAAAGGACAAAAGCTGATCCCACAGCTATAAATACTTAACTATCCAACAAACTGCAACAGAGTACAGACAGAGTTCTGACTCTTGTCCTCTGAAGATGCCAGCCACAGAGACTTGCGAAACATTAGGAAGAAAAACCTTAAGAACATGGCCAAACAGCCCAGAAAACCCACAACAACCATCAGATCCCGGCCGTGAAAACCTTCGAGAATACAATCAAGACTTTCTCCATCTATCATGTCACCCTAAATATTTGTTAACTGGAGAGAATTTTATGACTCCAGTTCATTATCTATGACTCCCAAGCAACCTCCATTCATTTCAGTGGGCCTCATGGAGGAATAAAAGCAAACAATATTTACATGGGGGCAAATATCTGGTGGCAGTCTGAGTCTTCAAAGAAATGTCATTCTCAACAAGTTTATCTTTAATTCGCTGGGTCAGAGCGTGGCTCATAATATTTATTTTATTACAAAAAGGCAATTATTTCAGCACAGAAGCAAAACCATTCATGGGAAAAATGTACAATCTTTAGATTTCTAATAGCAAACAGTAATGGGATCTCTGCTTCTATAATGGAAATAATTTACTGGTATATACACATGTGTATTTTTTATCAGTTTATTTTCAAAAGACTGATTTTGCCATCATCTTCCCCTCTACCACATCATAGTACTGATATACGTACTGAACTACCAAGCAATTTATTATTCAAAGGCATTCCTGGGTATTTATTTTTAAAAGTGCCAGTACACTCTGAGAAATGGCAAACAAAAGCAATACTAAAACACATTAAAAGCAGTAATGCGTTACAATCCAGTTAAAAATCCCATTCAGGCAGCCAGTCACTGAGGGAAAGCTTGCCTGAAGAGAAAGCTCTCCATCAGTTTGTGGAAGGACAGTAAAGATGGTGCCAGTCATCATGAATAAAGAGAGTGGGTACATCTTAGTGCAGAAGCAGTTTTTCCCTGTTTGTGAAACCTGACTTCAAAGGAATTCTGTCCTTAAATCCTAAAGGTCAATCAACAAACAAAGCAATCTGCATAATCCAGGAAGTCAGAGAAGCTTTTGTGACCCTTGGATGCTCACTTTAAGTAATCCCTCTTCTAGTATGGGCTCTCTATCTAATATCTGTTTCTGCTCCCAGTCTGGCGTCTCAGCTTTGACTATTCCAACTTGGGTAAGAACACTAGTCCAGCCTCCTGTGAGTATTGTTCCTTTTATCCTCATAGTGCAAAAAGAGAGAAATCAATTCTGCAGTGACAAGATGCTTTTCCAACTCAGATCACAAACTAACGTTACTATCAAGTACAGTATGAGTCCATTTGAGTGGACAGCCTCAGGTGAGCAATATGTACCTTGCAGTATAGATCAAGAATCTCAGACTGTGAAATGAACTACAAACTATAGCAAAAGAGAAAATGCTTAGCTTAATTTCTTTGAAAAGTAAAATCCATATAGGAAAGCACTAAATTAAATCCCATCCCTCATTCATTATACTGATTTTACTTCATTCTTTGGCAGGATATAATCACTGCGTGCTGGATCCTTCAGGGTAGAATATATATTGCCTTTTTCAGCTGCTCAGTAGCTGTTTCATTGTGTGGGTGATATATTTTTAAGACTACCAAATTTCCAGTTTGCTGAAGCACTTAGAAATTCCATACTGAAGTAAAGAATTCACTGTGTAAATTTGGAGCTTTATATTGATATAGTTGTTTCCCAATATAATAGTTTGATTTAATAAATTTAGGCGACCATACCATGGCATTCATTCTACTTAAGTACCTTTGCCAAATTGCAAACAGGGTATGCCAAAAATAATTGCTTTAAAGTGGAATCTAACAATTGAGAAGGAGGGTTGCTTTTGTCCTGAGCCCTCCTCCTGATTGGCTTCTGCCTCCATTCCCTACCAAGATGAGCAGATGATGCTATTGTTGGACTTAACAGATGAAAAGGTTATTCAAATGTAATTATCAAAACCCATGCAATAGCTAGTAATTTAACAAGAAAATAAGCTAGTATGGGTTATCCTAAAATGAATGCCATTTTGTCTATTATTTCTCTAACAAATAGGTAGCCAGCAGCCAATTTTCACTTTTCTTTTTCTTGTCAAGTACACAAATTATCTTGCACAACAGAGAACATTTCGGTCAAAATGGTTGAAAGACTTTTATCATCATTCAAGATATATTATCACAGATTTATTTCATTTACAGGAGCAAAAATATGCTCCAATCATGTCCATGATTCTCTTTCAAAATTATTTTAAATGTGTAATATTAATTCCAGAGAGAATAATCTCCCACGAATATATCAACTCCTTTGTAAGATATAGCTTATAACGTTGGACCTGCAAACTTATCTAACATTTGGGAGAGAAACCTTTTCTTTGTGCAGTAGAACTATTATAGAAGTTGGAGGATAGAAATTTGTTTTGATACAAGAGTATTGTCAGCTTATCCCGAGGACAATCAGGGTTTTTAAAATTGTTTTATATTTTGCTAATCAATACTTTGGTTTGATTTTTAATGTATCTCCTTGAGCTCATATAACGGGGACACATGAGAAGGCTTTCTTGTTGGCTGCTCAAGTGCTTTGGAACTAAGGGAAGCCACTGGCAATGGTGCGGCTAAAAAATATTGTAAATAAATAAAAATAAATAAAATAGTCTAGTCTGTGGCCCTTCAACCACCAGAGAAAGATCTTTCCTTAGAGCTGCCTTTGACTGTATTCTCAAAGGCTTTCACGGCCGGGATCCAATGGCTGTTGTAGGTTTTTCGAGCTGTTTGGTTGTGTTTCTGGAGGTTTTTTCTTCCTAACGTTTCGCCGGTACCTAAACAAAAACTCCAAACTACAGGCAAATGGCTACTCCAAAAATGAAATCACAAGAGCCATCAAATCAAGAAAACAACACCAAACTGAAGAGGAAAACCAACCATCCACAAATAAAGTATTTCTGCCATACATCAAAGGGGTCACGGGCCGCATGGGGAAACTTTTGAAAAAACACAACCTACAAACAGTATTCAGACCCACCACAAAAATATAACAAATGTTACGGTCAGCAAAGGACAAAAGGGACCCCCCTCACCTATGCAGGAGTATACCTGATACCTTGCAGTTGTGGCCAGGTTTATATTGGAACCACAGAATGCAACATCCACACCAGAATCCAAGAACATGAAAGACACTGCAGACAAAAACAACCAGAAAAATCAGCAGTAGCTGAATATGCCCTGAAACATGCTGGACATGAATTCTATTTCAAAATACTGAAGTACTGGTCAACACCAGCAATCATTATGTTAGACTACACAGGGAAGCCATTGAAATCCACAAATATCAGCACAGCTTCAACAAAAAAGAAGAAAGTCTAAAACTCAACAAAGCCTGGCTCCCAGCACTGAAAAATACCGCCTGCAAAAAAGGTCAACAAACTCTACCCAGCTACAAGGACCGGTGATCACTGCACACAAAGGACTAGCTAACGACACCCATCAATCACAGTAACAGATAATCTCCTTTCTTATCATAACAATACATCCACAACAAAAAAAAACACTGATCACCACAATCACTCAATCTCCTGAAAAGAAAAGCTGACCCCACAGCCACACTCAACTATCCCACACACTACACCAGAACACAGAGTTCTAACTCCTGTCCTCTGAAGATGCCGGCTACAGAGACTGGTGAAACGTTAGGAAGAAAAACCTCCAGAACACACCCAAACAGTCTGAAAAACCTAGAAGAACCATCAAATGAGGGACTGTTGGCATGACCTTTGCTAGAACAAGAAAAGTGTCAAGAGCAGCATGTCAGTCCCTACACAACATTTGTAGATTTAATTAACATGTTTGGTATGGCATTCAGAAAAGGTCTATGGATAATCATGAAGAAATTTGGATGTTCTGAG